GCGAAGCATGACATTAAATTCTGTTGTCACCGTGTGCTCGTCGATGTTCGAACGATGCGTTTTTATCTGATCGTTCAGTATTTCACCTCCCGGATCGTTTAACGAGTCATCAATTCCTCCAGTCACTTCGGCGATCCCTCGGATTGCGATCGTCATACCGACGCTGTATGTCAACGCTTTATTATCTCGATACAGGCTCTCTTCGTTTCGGCGGAATTTGTGTCAGTGCTTGGAGAGAATAGTCGTCTGGGACTAGACGACAATGGAGGATAAGTCCGAGGCGAAAATCAGCCATCCCAAGGATGGAGCTCAGAGTATGNGATGTGGAGCAATCAAAGCGGGTAAATATTTTTTCATATTTTTTTAATGATGACGATTCTTCCGCCTTCGAACCAAAATAGGTCATCATTTACGCGCGCTATAGCGAATCAGAAATGTGAACTGATTGATGTCAGGAATTATTATTTGCTATGAAACTACTGTATTAGATTTCATGCAAGGATGTTCCGAAAACAAGGTCGCATATTGACTCGATGCCTCTTTCCTCCGAAAAAAGCTGAAAAATGTTGAAGCTGTCTGAATTAAATGTGTTTGAAAAAATACCGTACTGTCCTGGTGGATGCGGCTCTTACTGTATTTACGATTATGCGTTATGCTGATATATACTGGAAGTATGTGCTGTACTATCTTACATGGACTTCACTTTTTTCTCGGGGCAATACAAATCAGGAAATATTCAGACAGCAACATGCCGAATAATATCTTCAATGAGTGAGAATATACTCATCGGGGAAACTTCGTAGATAAATATCTATTCAAGTTTTGAATTTATCAATAGGGTTTATTTATCTCCCCTTAATTTGAATACAGTATTGTTATTTGGCATCTTTTTTATTCGAAGACCGAACCAAAGTCAGGGTGTGGCCCAGTTTCGCAAGCTGCCTATCGCGTGATTACGGTATTGTAAAATGTCGCGGGAATACGAATGTTCTTGGTGCGACTCCGACGAGCAAGACTTATAAAAATGGCATTTTTGACCAACAACGTTTCCGTAGCTCCTGCATAAACATGACTGGAAATTATTCATTTAATTTGCATACACTTTACATGAATACCGCACGCATTTTCAAATGCGAGTGCTCTGTTATGAAAAATAAATTATCAAGCTATCTGTGTTAGCAGTTCATCCCAAGCATAATGTATTCTGTGAATGAAAAAATAATAATTACACTGATCTAACACAAAAACAAGGATTCCCTGTTCTGTTAGTACGCGCATCTCTTATCAGATCCAAAGTTACCGGCACTGTACTCGTACCTCCTCCTTTGTTGATTCCAAATGCTGCATGATTCACGCCAAAATGATTTTCATTTCATCTGCTTGATCTTCCGATTGACTGCTAACTCATAACGGAGCTGATCATAAGAAAAGCAAACCGTTTCACCGAACTCATAGTAGTAGATTAATAAACTGATGAATGTGATACGTCGTTTTAAATCAGTGAGCATCGATCAAAGGCGCATTTGGACCCGAGATTAACTCGATTCTCATGAAATGTTTGCTTTCGATCTCGACCGAGGAAAAATTTTCCGTGATATGAGAGCAAAAAGAGTGAGATTTGATTTCTCAACTGCATTCCTTTTATACGATATAAGATTCCATCACTCTTATTAGCTAACGAGGCAATATTAGACTTGTACGACTTCATAAATACTGTAGTTTGCACAAGTTGCGTCTCAATATTTAATCTTGCTTTGTTATACTCTTACCTTAGTCAGATTTTTGATGTGGTCTTTCGAAAATAATGTTTTTGGCTTTTTATATGTTATCTCGTGGTCTCATCCGTTCTCAACTTATTGAAAGTAAGCTTCCCTCCTGAATTGCCTCAGGGTATGTGGAAGTGGCTATCAGAATCGTATAGCTTTGCATAAATATTTTCAATTGTGTATCCCCACTTTCACCCAAGAAATATGTTTCTAAATTCCTTCGGAACATCTTGCTGCCCCAGAACGAATGTTTGCGGGTCAATTCTATCTCTAAAATCGAATATCGTGTTCTGATTTTGTTCATATTTTATATGTCGGCTCACCCTTATATACGGATAATCCTCAGATGTATAGCATATCAGATAATATGGCCTTGATGTACATCCTAATTATTTCAACTAAAATTCTAAAATCCAAAAGCCGTTTGTGACTGGATTTACTTTAGCTTAGGCATATTGGATTTACTTCGTGCAGGAACTTCTGTGGCGATTTTATGATAATTTTTGAAGGTTGAGTTGATCTAATAGATGAGGAAATGATTTTTCGAACGGGGGCACTTGATAAACTGTGAAAGATGAACTATGCACAGCTCGAATGATTTTCAATGGCTGTAAGATCGAACATATGACGCGTAAAAATACTTCCTCAATTCACACGCAATCGAAATTTTTGTTTTATTATTTAAATTTCAGCCCGGAGACTTGTATAAATTCGTGCATTGCTGTTCAAAAATATATAGGTCCAATACTGTATGTCCTTTAGTGCCATAGAACTTGCAGAAACGCTTACTTGCTGACGGGCATGCGATTCTTCTTAATGTTCACTGGTAAAGGCATTATTTAAGGAATATTGAAGGTGATACAGTACTTGATTTCTTCGCGTCTAATTCCAACCAAATAAATTTAGAATCCGAAAAGAAACGGAACTTTGGTAACTGGATTCATTACTCTGAACGCATGTGTAATCTGACTGTTGGTGACATCTACCCACAGTACACACACAACTAAACCTAAGAAGTAACGAAGATCGTTAATTATAGCATTAAAAATGTTCGACTGCTCTTCCGAATAGTATAATGCACTTCATATCCACACAATGAAACTAGCACATTGTTTCATTCCGGGTTTAATAATGAAGTAAAAAAATTCCTACAATGAAATCGAAGATATGAGTGATGTGCCAGCTGCTTTCATTTCCCAACGCAACAGCATTAATCATCTAAAAAGCATGGCATACACACCGTGGTATGCCTCAGCCAACGTATACCTGGCATGATGGTTGTTCGAACAATAATGGACTCAGGTCACCCCCTATTTTAGCTTGGAACAGTGAACAAAGATGCTGTGGGAAATTGACCGCCAGCATAATTCTCCTTGTGAAGAAACCCTTTCGATCTTCTAAATTACTTTGAGCACACGAGGGAACTCTTCGGTTTTAACGCTCTATACTCTAATTTTTTGAGCATATTTTAATTTTAATTTATGTCAGAATTTTACAGAATCCGAATTGGATGATACATTCTATGATGCCGAGCATTAAATAGTTGACGGACTAGGACTAGGTCACGGTATAAAAAATAATAACGATCATATAGTTAGCTCAGTCGTTTCCTCAAGCGCATCAGCTCCACGGCAACTGGGTTTCGGCGCGTGCGCTTGCACTTGTTATAGGTCAACTCCATCAGTTCGCACTCTTCGCAGGGATGTTCGCGACGTGGAAATTTTTTTTTTTCAAAGCTCGAAAATGCCAGAATTGAAAACGATTCGACTAGTAGCCAAAAAGGAAACGCTCCCGCGTTGGTTGACGGGAGTAAAAACAGTCCAAGAGTTGCCAAGAGACTGTCCAGGATTTTCATGCTGGTTCCTGTCTGGAAAGCGAGTTCGCTCGCACTCCCTCGCCCGTGCAAGGCATGTATGTATGCACAACAGTACAGGACGTCGTTCGTGGAACCGTTCCTCGCCCGCACGCGCTGTAGACGAGAGTCACAAAAGCATGACGGGCTCCACTTTCCCACAGGTGTGCGGCACTCGGCGCGATCTGGCTTGGAGTAACTCGAACGCCGTAGTTTACTTTCCTTTCTCCTTCCGCGAGGTGTTATATACAGGCATGTTCGGCGTTTGAAATAAAAAAAAAGAGGAGAAGAGGGGGAATTTAGTTTCGAGCGTTGATAGCTCGCATTGAACTCGAAATTGCCTTGACGTGAGGGAAAAGAATCTTGTGGCAACTCGCGTTCGGAATCCTCAGTCTTATCTCCGGGTTGCATGTGTTCGGTGCTTGACGGGCGGGGGATTTTCCTTTTTGTGGTTCTTGGCCCAGTCATTCAACGTCGCGACTCCAAGGCCCGAGGCTTGAGTTGAGGATTTCTAGTGCTGCGGTGATTGCGCGGATTGTTCCTATCGGAAATAAGTAAGTTCCGGTGTCGGGACGGCGAGAAAGAAAACATTGTTCTTCTAATCTCCACGCCTAATGTCAACCCGCGGCGTTCCCATTTTTCTCCGTTTCTTTGCGTGTAGCGATAAGTAAATTGGTGAAATGAACTGTCTCTCAAAGTCGCGCAAGTTTCCACGTGTTTATCTGCGAGAAACGAAGTGCGATCTCCATTTCTGCCTGTACAGATGAGATGACTGTCCCTCGGTAGTGGCCAGCAGTGCAAACCTGTTGTGAAATCTAAGCTCTCACGCCTCAAGTTTAGCTTCTATTAAAAGATGTCGCTCCTTTGCAAAATAAAGAACGCATGATTCACGGCCCGGTAAATCTGAAGCATTTTTTTGCTGCTGAAAAATGTCTCAAAAAGTAGGCTGACTTTTTACCATTTAATTGCGCCTTTTCCATTCGATGGATTCTAGATGCACAAGGAAATTGCATACTTCCTCCGTGGTTGACAACACGCTCGTGGATTAAAATGCTGTAAAGTCTGGGATTCGATTCGAAAGAAGTCTTATTCAAATGTTCAATTCAGTGTTGCATGAGTTAATTACCGATTTCCGTTGGAAGATTTTGAGTTGATTGATGAGTTAATTGAAGCAGTAATAAAATCAACCGACTCCTCATACCGAAGAATTTTAATTTAACGAGGAAAGCTAGCATTAACAGGCAAAATTCTTCCCTTAAAGTAACACAAAATTTGGGCGTGTGCGTCTAATGATTGATGTCTTATGATTGTCCGAATACGTTACAGTATTTTCTCATGCTTGTGTCAAAACTGCCAACATGCAACATATACCTTTATTCGCCAGATACGAAGGATGTGTTTATTCAGCATGTGTAACCATTGCTAATCATGATGCATAGCTACACTTGCAAGTTGATCATCAACTTGCAAGCCAGGTTTTATAAAAACTAGGCCGAGAACCATCTGCTCAATAGTCAATACTCGGCACGCGTGAATCTGAGCATTGCACGCACCGCATAGCTGATGAAAGAATTTTACGAGGGAACAGCGGAAATTTACCCGTAGTTCTTAATACTTGAGGTATCAATTATATTGGATACCAATGACTAAAACACGCGGTGACATGGAAACATTGAAGAAACGCGGAACACCGTATGGAAGCATGACGGTCAACATGGATGCTAATGACGATGAGCGAGAAAAAATTCTCCCTCGTCGGGGAGTAAGTTTTCCATTCCGCATATTTCCACATTTTTGCCAAAAATATTAATAAATGATGATTGCTTCGAACTAAAACATTCGCTTTCTCTCTTCAGAAAATTCCGTACCCGAAATCCGTCTTCTTCATTTTCGGAAACGAATTCTGCGAGAGGTTTTCTTTCTATGGCATGAAAAGTGAGTGCATATACTTTTAATTTGGTCTCGGTTCGTTTGACTCTGCGATAAATCTAATTTTTTTTTGTCCACAGCAATTTTGACCATCTACCTTCATCAAGAACTGAAATACTCTGAATCTTCCGCTACTGTCATGTACCATGTCTTCAACTTGTTCTGCTATTTCACTCCGCTCTTCGGAGCTATTTTGGCTGATTCATACTGGGGGAAATTCAAGTGAGTGAGGAAACTAAGGCTGTCGTTTGCTTTCAAATTCCAAACTTAATGTTCAAATTGCAGAACTATCACCTACATTTCGATCCTTTACGCCATTGGAAACATAATCATGGCCTTCGGAGCGGTGCCAATCGATGGGTTACCCCAAATGTGAGTGTGCCATTTCCATCTTTCTATATTCGAGCGATGCATGAAGTATTTATTTATACCGACAAGGCATCACGACAAAACCTTTTAGTCTTCTAAAGCCCGCAAAATTATTATTTTTTCCTTCTGTAGACATCCGGGTATGTGCCATCTCATTTATGACTAGTATGAGTGCCAAGTTGGAAGCAAAAATGTCCTTTTTATTCAACAAAGTTCCGACTAAAAGCAGAGATACTGTACATGTACTGTGTACTAAAACGCTGAATTCTAATTCAAACTGAAGACTATCCATTAGTATAATACCTTGCTGAGTAGCAATTGTCTTTCCTGTCATTTTGCAGATTATAAAAACACAGAAGTACGGTTTTTCATTCAAATGTATGCTCTCGAATGTTGAGCCCTTGAAGCTTATTTGATCAGTCTACAAAAATTGAGAAATTGAATTCAAATTGATGCTTTTATCCCGATTTCTTGTATGTTTCATTCAGATTTCCCGGAGCAGAGTCACCGTATTACACGAGTGAACATAGACAGTACTGTACAGTACTTCAATGCAAAATAAACCTGCATTATCTCAGCATCAATTAACTTCCTTGCCGAATAGCCGTGACCAAATTTTGATGCATTTAGATGCAATGTAGCGGTCTGAATTTATTATCATGTAAACTCAAGTTACTGTACTTTCATTCTCTCCGATTGACTAACCCTGTAGACAAATGCGCCTGCAAATTTGAGGGGAAATCCGTAATCTAAAAAAGCTCAGTCGTAGTTTAATGTTTCTTTGCTGGAAGAAATTGTGTACTAGCACAAACCCCAGGTTATCGGAAGAATTACTTTTTCTGCAGAGCAATTACAATCATCGGATTAGCAGTCATCGCAGCCGGCACGGGTGGAATCAAACCATGCGTTTCGGCCTTCGGTGGTGATCAGTTCGTTTTGCCGGACCAAGAACGAGAACTTCAGCAGTTCTTCTCAGTATTTTATTTCTCAATCAACGCGGGCTCGCTCATCTCGACGACGCTGACACCGATCCTTCGAGAGGATGTTCACTGTTTTGGCGAGCAATCCTGCTATTCTTTGGCTTTCGGCGTTCCTGCTGTCCTCATGGTTGTTGCTCTGGGTGAGATTGGTTCCCTTTTCGCCTCAAGTCACTGAGGATGACTCATTTTAAGATTAATTTTTCCCTTCGTGTTTACAGTTCTCTTCGTTCTCGGCAAAAGCATGTATACGATACGCGAACCGGAAGGCAACATGGTCGTCGAAGTCTCGAAGTGTATTGGAGTAAGTATTGCCAAGTAACAGAATCTTAATCCAAGAGTCCTCAGTTATTTGAGAAAGAAATTCCAATACCTTTTTCTCTGGACATGACCAAAATCCCCCGTACTTGACGACAGTTTCTACGGCAATATGTTATTTGTTAAAAAAAAGACGGACTTTCGTAGCTTTAAAATTTCACCAGAAAAACATATCAACAAAGGGAGAAGTGGGATATTCTTGGAAATAGAAACGAATCCTTCTTTGTGTATGCTTCAGTCCTCCCCTTTGATTGATGGCTAGCAAGAAATCTCGTGGTTCTGTTTGTCCCCGAGCAAGTTCCCATGAAAATGTAGAATGAAAACTGCGGGTTTCGTGACTGATTCGCGTAGCGTATTTTTTGTGCATTTTAATCATCCAGCATTTTTGATTAGTTGAGTTCTTCCTATCCCTCGATTTTACTAAAGAAGTTTCCGATTCAACTTTGATTGTTCTTTCAACTTGCATCAGCACCAGCCTACATTCATTTGAAAAAGTATAACACGATCAGTGATGCAAATTCGGTCGATTTCAAATTTTAAAATCCGAATATTACTGTATGTTGAAAATTACGCGGGAACATTTAGGGACCATGTTGATGTCGTACGAAAGCAGCAACAATATTTTAAATGCATACCTTTCTAGACCGTAAATTGATATCCTCGAGGAAAACATGCCCTGCAGCTTGACCATCCGGGAGCAGTGATCGTAATTGCGAGGATGTGCATGAACGTCAGTAATGACAGACATGTTTCATGTCTAATAAATCTTATCTGCAGCCAATTTAGTTTCGAAGATAATCCTTAAAAGAGATCTGGATTTACTGGGCTAAACTAGACTAACAATACTTTTCCGAACCAGCACGCCGTGAGCAGAAAAATTAAAAGCTCCGAGCCGAAGAAAGAACATTGGCTGGATTACGCGGATGACCGATTCAGCAAGGACCTCATCAGCGACATCAAAGCCGTCATGAAGGTCTTGACCCTGTACATACCGCTGCCAATCTTCTGGACGCTTTTTGATCAGCAGGTAATGATTTCGATGATAGCTTCCCAAACACTGCGAAGAAAATAATCTTCACATAAAATTGGATAGGGTTCAAGATGGACTCTTCAAGCCACGCGAATGGATGGCAGGCTTTCGGACAGCTTCACTCTGAAGCCGGATCAAATGCAAGTCGTCAATCCGTTGCTCATTCTTGGACTCATTCCGCTGTTCGAAAGCGTGCTGTATCCGCTTTTCCATAAAATCGGAGTGCTGAAGCGACCTCTGCAAAAAATGGTGGTTGGCATGATCCTTGCTGGTGCCGCGTTTGCTGTTTCCGGCTTTGTAGAGCTAGAACTTCGGGTAATCAGCGCTATTTGACGAGTCTTCTTTTTCAATTGCATATATATGCTTTAAATCTTTTTCCATGACAGAAAGGATATCCGGTTTCTATCGACTCCGGTGAATCTCGTTTGGTGTTCATGAACACGCTGGATTGTGATGTTGGCATTGAAGCGATGAAGTCTTCCGACTTGAAACTCGCTCTCATGGCGAATGATGTGCAAAACTTCAACTTGAAAGGAGAATTTCCTTACTCATTGGACTTGAAAGTCAAAGGTGACAAATGTTCCGCTCCCGTAGATTTTACGAAGTCCGTCATCGTCAAAGAACCGAAAGAGGTACTGTATTGCACTGCACTGTAATTCCAAAAACATCGTGATGAAACAATAAGTTTGCGGCTAATGTTGATTTTGCTCTTTCAGGCCTTTTCCGTGATTGTTACTGATACGACGCTTCTGCTGAGTGAACCGCAAAGCTACGAGAAACCCTCAAGCGGCCTTCCATTCGTGAGGTACGCATTTTGAGCACGTTTTATGAGCAGAGAATCAAAACTGTTAACTTGTTTATGCTTTTTTTCTTTTCAGGGTTGTGTACAGTGTTGAACAGACTCTCGTCGACGAAAATAATGCAACTGTTATACTGAAAGGTCCGAAAAAATACGAACATTTGCTGAATACTACAGAAGCTACGACTGCCTACGAAGAAGAAACAGAGCCGGGAAAGCAAGTATTCAGCGCAGATGTTTTTAATGGAGGAACGGTTCAGAATAGAGAACATTATTTGTCAACTTCAAAGTACCGGAAGCATGAAACGAAGTCCGATTTTTCTAGACCAAGCACGAAAAAACTTGCTGAATTAAACTGTTATGCTCATTCTACAGCTATTAATATGAGTGGAACTCGGGCCATTCGAAATAAATCGACGAGTTGATCAAGTAATTAATAAAATAATAAAATAGATAAATGCAATTAATAAGATAATACAATAAGAGTTGATACATGAATAAATAAATAATAATAATATAATAGTTAATATTTATATTCATAAATACTGTACCTGTATTTTGCAGCTTTGTATATATGTCTGTGATTGGCATTTTGTTTGATGTGTAACATTCTTCTAAATTGAATAAAATTAAAATTTGTGGAACATTTCCTTGAACGTAAATTGAACATTTTTGAATGAAATAACGATGGAATTTTAATTTTTTCAATTGCCGTAATCCGGATGGATTAGTCGTTAATAACCCAAGCATTCAAAGCGGTTTTCTAATGTCGACCTTTCTTTTGATTCGCAGATACCAAGTATATGTGGATATTAATGGAAATCTAACAGGGCCGTTTTCGAAGAAGATGGAATTCTTGCTTGGTGGCGTTTATGAAGTTTCCTTATTCCAGAAAAACGAGACGGTATTTTTAAAGCGATCACTTTTTAGTTCATTAATTGAAATTTGGTTGCATTGCAGCACTTTGAAGCAGACGGATTCGTCGTTACGGAGCCGAACAATGTGCATATGTTGTGGTTAATTCCACAATACCTGATAATCACCACAGCAGAAATTCTTTTCTCACCAACAGGCTATGAGTTCTCTTTCACACAGGTGCAGTTAAATCGATTCATTCTTCCGATTTTAAATTGTTGATTGAAGAATCGAACGTTGATTTCTGAAATTAATAACTCTTTCCGCAGTCTCCGACGTCGATGAAAGCCGTCATTCAATCGGGTTGGCTGATGTCAATCGCCGTTGGAAACCTGATCGTCGTTATCGTGGCTGAGGCTAAATTTTTTCCAGAACAGGTTTGGGCAATTTTCAATTTCCATCCGAAAACATCCCAGCTTATGTTTTATGAAAATTTTCGCAGTACATGGAATTCTTCTTCTTCGCCGGCTTGATCGGTGTTTTCGCGGGCTTGTTTTCTGTCATGGCGTACTTTTACAAGTATCAAGATTTCTCGTCACCGGACGATGTTGTTGACCCAAAAAAGAGGAACTCGATCAGCAGCGTCAATAGCAAGAGTCAAGGTGTGGAGAATCAAGCCTTCGACCAAAGTGATTCCAAATTCTAGAGTTCCATTGATCGTGAATGCGAGTTCTTCGAAATTATTCTTGGGAATTCATACCACCGGCTATTTTTTATACAATTTCAAAAGAAAGTGGAAAAATTTTGCTGTAGTGGGAAAACTAGTAGTTTCAAGGACAAATTGTTTAATGGAACTGATGCAATTTCGATTGCAGAGTTTTCGATACTATTCAAGATGATCTAAGCTTTTTCTTCCATTGTTTTTTTTTCTGAAGCAATTTGAATGTTACCATCTGATTGTCAAGCGTCGATCATTTTTACTTGCAATTAACGCGGTGTGATGTGGAGTCCAGGATGAAGTGACTGAGTGTCTTTCCATGTCATTCCAAGTGAAGTAGTCTGTCAATGTTCCGGGTATGGACTATTTAAAAAATAATGTTGTGATAAAGAGATATTTTGCAAGTTTTGTACGAATTTTTTTTCGAAGACGACGAAAAAATAGGTCTATAAGTTGGCAAGCAAAGGGGGATGTTTCCAAATGCTTGTGATCGACAATGAAAAATGGTAAAACCAAAAAGAATTTTCCTGGAAATCGTAAAATTCAATTCCGTTAAGGTAAAGGATGTTATCATCGAGCACATACGAACAAGCGATTCTTCGGATAAATCTACTGAAAAAGTATTGATCATCTTATTTCCAAAAACCTGTAATACGCACTTTTTTCCTAAATCTGCTTCAAAAATTAATTCGAGTGTTTCTTTCGATAGCATTTATATTCTCGTGTGAAGTGATCGAATCCTTCAAAGCTGTTGAAAATAATTGAAGATTAAAATGGGATTAAAACGAATCTTACTGCTGCAATACATAGTAAAATCAGAAGAAAAATAAATACGTTGACTATCTTGCAGCATCAATGCCATCACGAGTTTAGGAAGCAAATTAAATCACGGAACCCTTACATTGAATATTCCTTCAAATTTAAAACCATTTGTTGCGCGATTCATTACGGAAAGATGCAGAGGAAAGGGTGCCGCAAGATAAGTTTCTGACGACGCAGATGTGGTTTCAGAGCAATATAGAATATCGATTGATCTGATAATAATTCAAATGAGCACCAAGGATGCGCCTTCAATTCGCTATACTGTAATGAAACTTTATTCAGTCTTTAAGGCGAATCCATGTACAGTAGGTGCGATGTCGTCTCATAATCGAGCAGTTATACGACGGACACTCAGGCCCCCATAAAGATGATGTAATTTTATTTCAGCAAAGTGGGAGATGGAAAGTGGGAACCTTCGAAGCAGTTGTTTGACTCGTGATAGATTTACTGAAAATCCTATCGGTCAACCTCCTCACGAGAAAGGCAGTCACTATATTATTACGTGTAAGGTAAAGCACACAGAAGATGACTTATTAATTTAGCCGGAGGCTTACGGGTCAAAGCCCCGTTTATAGTTTTGTATAAATAATACGCGATCGACGACTCCGTTGAGAACTGCGTGTCCGGAGAAGCCCAAAAAGGAAACCAATGGAAAGGAAACCGATTTCTTGATTTCTGCTCCATCTAACGCCAAAATTGAAAGCTATGCTTTCAATTCTCTTCCGATGTTGGGTTGACCGACATGTGGTCCAGTGTTGCTGGCTAAAAAGGAACAATAAACCACAATCCAGGTGAGAAAAACTACGAGAATTGGATATTAATCAACCCGTCGTTTCACTCATGTATTATATGAAAAATGTCTCCGCCAATCTCGCTTCTGCGTGCGAAGGTTTTTCAGCCAAGTTGGCCTTAACATTTCTGACTCATTAAACAAAGTCTTTCATGATGTGGGGTACGAATAAAATTGTGTGCAATACCTTGTTAATTCTTTGTTTTCTTGAATGAGAAATTCATTCGTAACCTCATGATGGAGTCGTATACTGTAGTCTTTCTTTAATAGATTGTTGCGATATAGCAGCGTTACTCCCAAGAATATTTTAACTATAAATCACAGTTGAATTCCGAGAAATTAAAGTATACCTATATAGCGTCTTCAGTTAGCCAGAAAATTCATTTCTTCAATATGACCTGCATGATGATATTAGTCTCTGTGAAACGCATGTTGTGGTGATTGTTTTCGATTTTTGAAACCAATAAATGAGGCGAGGTCTACAATATTATTTGACGTGGCTGGAAGAAATCGAAAACGGACCGAAAACGTGAAGCGTTATGCACCTACCGCAAGTATGCTGTCACCAGCATTTCAGGGCATGGTCTTTCGCTGTTGTTTTTAAAGTGTGGAAACGACATCTAACCGAGATACTTTTCCCCACAATCAAAATTTTTATAGTGAGATGTCAAGCTTGTTTCGTGATGTCCTCATAGCCCTGGCAGCGCTTCGGACCATCAGCAGTCATCATCATCCGCGAGTCGAAAATCGGCAGGGACCATTTTTGCGAGGTTTTGTCATATCCGAATACCGGAAATCCAACGCATTCTACGAAGTCGGTATTCCATTTGACAACGGAAAGAGATAGAAAAGATCGATTCTCTACCATTATTGCTTGTCAGTTTTTCAATGGACGAGTGATATTTTCTTCTCGAAATGCTTTTTTAAATGTTGCAGGCATTTTATTGAAATCTTTCCATGTTTCCACCTTTTATTTACAATCAAAACTTATGACTGAAAACAGGAATGAAGATAAATAGGTATTTGATGCTGGACTGAAGATTTGGTATTCATTTCTATATAAAGGATATACGTGGGTTTTAAATCGGTAAAAAAGGAAATCATATTGGATACAACATTTTGATCATCTAAAACGAACTTCATGTCTCGATTTTGACTGGAATGTTCCCAATATGCATTCACATTTTTATAAATGCAGTGGTTAAAAAACGAATATTTGTCCCCTTCGTTGTTTAAAAGCTAAAAAATCATCATCCGCGAGACGGAAACTTTTGAGACGGAGTTAATATAAAATCAGGCGCGCAGTAGCGCATTTGAAATTTGCTTGGATTGTAGAATAAAGCGCTATGCCTCAAGAAACATGCAAAATTGCTGGGAAATTTGTTGGTTCGCCTGAATCCCATAATCATTTTTAGAAAAATTTATTCGTTGATTCATTTTAGACAAAACTGACAAAAGATACCGAGAAATTCAGAGAATTCTGCGTCAATCAAATATGCAGGTACGAACGTGGCGCACAATTTAGTGTTCAACGATGGATACTGTACCATATATCACACGCTTTCATTCATTCTCCAAGCAGTCCTTTAAATTAATGACAGTTCGAAAAATGTATAATATCAGTGATCTTTCGTCAATTAAAACAGCCAACTACAGAATTTGCTCCAGGTCGCGTGTACAGTATGGGGGAAATACATTTTACCGCGGTGTACGGAATGTCTTTCGCTATTATTTTGAGCTCAGAGCTCACTAATACGAATGACTTGAATAAATATGGATTTTGTCCTCGTTATTGATTTCTGTTGCTAAATGTGAAATTAATCGTTGTAACCTTTAAGTTCCAACGACGGCGGCTCTTATTCTTCATTGAAGGGGATGCCTTATACCCAAGAACCTTTACATTTATTTAGTTCAAACAAATGTAACCTTTCGAATAACGGAATTATTGATGGAAACTTCCAAGACACCCACACGGGTACAGGAGGCTTATACACAGACGCTTTGATCAAGCTGGTTCATCCCTTTTCTTTTCTCTCAGTTATTCCTGCGTGTTTTGCTCTGCGTTTTTTTCCTCTGCAGGAATATGACATGCGATAAGTGCGACGATTTTCGGCTTCCATTCAATCATTGTTCAAAGTACTTTCGACGTCAAATCTTAAACTTTCACATTTGTTTTGAGGACCTGACGCGTCTCTCTGTATAGAGTTTGACGGATGCGTTAATGCGGTGATTTATCAAGTTTGAGATAGTTGGATGAGCCCTCGTTTCGTTGAAGTTCGCTGGAAGAGAACTCATATCTGGTCAGAGAAACGAGTGTATGTCAAACGCTTCCACACATTTAGCCGATGCATCTCGTTATAACTTCTTATCTTGGCAGTCTACCCCCTGCCGAGTCGCATGGTGACGTGATTTCATCCCTATATATACGACATGGTGCTCGACTTTTACATGAGGACATGAAAAATAATTGCGCTACTTTTGGGAATCGATCGTAATTATACTCAATCTAGGAATACCGCACCATGTTTTATAATGAACTTGACTGATTATCCGTCAAAAGTCCATTCAATCGAGTACTCTGTGAAGGTATGCAGTGCAGAACATCGATAATTGGATTCAAGTAAAGAGCTTCTGTATAAATCTGATTATCCGAGCATTTATTGCGCTTTCATCCAATTGAATGTCACCAAATTCCATCTAATAGAGTGCATGCAATGGCCAAAATGCTGCATTTATTTGGTACACATTTTCAGATACGACTTTTTAATTATATTTATGCAACAAACTATGCATAGTGTGTATTTGTTCTAAATGTGCTTAGAAGTTTTTTTCTGGATTTTTGTTCATACTGTATTTATGTATGTCCTCATTATACGGGTACAGTATATGTTAGAGGTCCATTGTATCTTGAAAAGTACATTACTGCATTACGATCGAGATGTTTCTGGAAATATCGCGTGATCTGTCTTTCTGATGATCAGTATCTTCTTGGCACGCAAATGAAAGCTATTTCCAGGTGAATATTTTCGACGACGATAAGAATTCGTTGGGTTTGAACCGTTTCGTTAGACAGATGAGAAGGGCATATATGTGTGTGTCTCGCATGTGTTGCGCATCAATTTTTGCTCACGAGATAGTTTGGGAAGGGAATTGCTAGAAACCGCGGGAGCTCAGGATAACATCGAAAAGTCATTGGTCTATCGATAGGAATTCCAATGAAAGTCTAAACCAGATTTAAGGAACAATAAGCTTTCAACATACTGTCACGTTCATGATAGAAGTGTTCTCCGGACGAAGGAAATACACAGGAAGAGAAAATTGCGACAAAAGTTTACACCTGATATTCTCCGAAGAACTTGAGCTTTGCATAAACTGCCCAGGGACTCCGCGTCTGCTCTAGGGAAATGAAAAAAATTGAATTATACTTGAGGTTGAGAAGTATGGCTTACGAGAAATACATTAGCACATGCAATTCCATAATTCTAGTCACGAATCCCATGGACAGACCTTTCTTTTATTTTTTTGGAGCCTGAAAAAATTATATGAAAGACATATGGTAGGACTGAACGTGTAGGCCAGAATAAGGCCACACCAAAGTTACGCAAGTTACGAGGCGCCCACGTGTCATAAACATGCATCTACACCTTTGTAGTGGAAATCTGGGAAATAATGTCGTTTTGTTTGCAAATACGATGACGAAAAGCGTCTTTTTCTTGCCGAACTCTGGGGAAATAAGTGCGGGTAGTACTCGAGTGAATATGGATGATTTTATTCCAGGAAAACACGCATATC